TATAGCAGAAAAGATTATTCTGAGTAGCTGTGGCCCGCAGGAAGCCTAAGAGGCTTAATTTTGAAAGGTTTTCCATCCTGTGTACATTCAGGTGTTGCCTGTTTTGCAGTCAGTGTTCACAGTACTAGGGAAACAAATATAAAACAAGCTGGCTTTTATCCTGATATAATCAAATGTGTGCAGATGTGATCTCTGTTTGCTCAGTATGCATAAGGAGAATGAGAACCAGGGAAAGGAGCAAATAAAGATTTCTTCTCTTTTTTTTTTTTTTTGGTACAGAAAAAAAAGTTGTTTGTACAGAAGAAATACAGACTTTGTGTGATACGTTATTTTATACGTTATTTTTTACATTATTTTATATGTTATTTTTTTTTGATAAAAAATGAGTGGCAGGATGGAGAGGGTTGCTGCTTACCTGAGAGAGCTGTTGGTGTGGTTTGTCCTTTTGTCAAAGTAAGAAGCTGGGCAGGCAGCGTGATAGTATTTGTTCTCTGAAACAATGTTGTTAGAGGGAAGTATTAGCTTTAATCCAGATGTGAGTGGTTTTTCTCTGCCTACAAAAACTGTAAGAGGGAGGCAAATTCTTTTTTTGGACACCTGAGAGTACTGCATTGTTTTTTTCCTAATCCTTTGCTATATCAACAACTGAATAGGCAAGACAAAGATTGTAGGATGAATATTTTTGATCCTAGCAAACATATTATTCAAGCCTGATGAGCTGCTTTTTAAAACATGTTTGTATATTAAAGGTGAAGGGAAAGCATATGAACTTAGTGAGTGTTGGATTTGGTGCTCAGCATTCTTCCTCCTCGGAGCAGCTCACATAAAACTGTTCCAGGATCTGAGTTTTCGGCAGTGTTAAAGTGCTCGATTGGTGTCATTAACTATTGCTGGCAGCTGCAGCAGCTTCCAGGTGTGTAAAATTGTTGACTCTCCAACTCTTTTTTTAAGTGCACTAGTTCATCATTTTAAAGGTTTTACAAATTAATAATCTTGCAACATTTTAGTGATTTCTAGTCTTTCCCTCTAAGACAGTGACAGATTATGAGTCAGTAAAATTTCAGCAGGTCTTTCAGAAGAAAATTTAGCTGTTTTTGTCTCAACCTTGAGTATTTTTCTTATCTAGCTAACAAGATTTTCGAAAGATGTATTGGTTTTCTTACTTGTATCAGATCTTAGATGAAAAAAAACATTTGAAGAGATCCCATTTTGTGTGCGTGTGTGCGCCTTCGTTATTTTGACCTTATTAATGCCAGGGGTTGTTTATAGGCCTGTGACTGCTATGTTCGAAACCTTCGCAGGCAGACTGACTCTATCAAAAACTGCATGTTTCTAAGGCTTCCAGGGTCACTGCCACTTTGGAGGAGGATCTGCTCCACCCTGCTCTCTTGTGGACCCTTCGGGACTTCTGCCCTGAGAAGACCTCCTCATGTAGGCATCTCATACAACTGGCAGTGCTTACCTCCAAAAGTGTTGCTCTGCAGTACTCTTCTACCCCACCTAAATCTCTGTGATGTTGTGCAGAAAAAAAATGCAGTTGATGGTAATACTTTAAATAGCCTGTTGCAGTGAAGAATGAGTGGCACTTGACACAAACGAATGGTCCTGGCACTGGGATTGCCAGTGGAAATCTTCTCGGTACATCTCAGCTGAAGAGAAATGAGGTGTACACAATGAACACCATCAAAAAGCCTTTTTTTTCTTTAAACAAATACTTCAACACTTTACAGCATCTAAGTCTGTTCCAGACAAAGATATTTGCCTTCTCTGCCTGCTATATGAATATAATTGAGTGGTAAAGTTGTAAATAATTTTGAAAGTAAGATAAAAGTATAAGTAATTGGAGAAAAAGCCTCTCTGTCTTTTTAAATTTCCCTTTCTAACTCATTTGTGTTGTAAAACCACACTTCCACGGGCTTGCTTAGAACCAGGCCTGCAGCTAAATATTTACCCAATAGATTTTGTTAAATCTGTTTCAGTGCCTCTGGAAATGAATTCACACCTCTAATTCCTAAGTACCCTTTGCCTCTGGGCATATGTAGTGAAAAGCGGGTATTAGAAGAGCTGAAATAGAGTTGAGATAACTGATAACCTGAGTAAATAGGTAAGGGATAGAGAAGACAGCATGATCCTTTGTTTCTCCAGGGTTTGGAAATGGAACTTTTGGGGTGAAAAGCTGAGCTAGGCTTGGGTGTTTCAGGTCCTTCAGATGGTGCTTGAAGGATATTTTGAGCTGAATGTTGTCGGGCTCCCTGTGGCTCCCAGGTCCCCTCCAGCCCTTCCCAAGCTGGTTGTCTGGGGAGAAAGCAATGCCTGTGAGGAGGTGCCACCACCCCTGCAGCAGTGGGAGAGGTGAGGAGGAACGGCAAGCACTTCAGTGGGAAATCGGCAGCAGCACGTAGGGATAGCCCACACAGCTGGGCATGAAGGGCACTGTCTTCTTCGAAGTGTCTTGGTCAGGGGACAATGAAAGGCCCTGGTCAGCTCAGACAGCCTCTTCAAGGCCCTCAGTCCTGCAACAGGACATTATCTCTTGATAATGCTTTGTGATGGCAGAGCAAGTCTCACCATTGCTTAGATAAGCAGTGGGGTAGAGACCCAACAGACAAGTTTGCTTTTTCCTTTTCTGCAGGAAGGAGCAGCTTCCTAACAACACTCGTCCGTACTCTTAGTCACCTTGTGTGACTTTAATGCACTTTACTGATGTGTAGTTTGTTGCATTATTGTCTTCTTTCTCATAGGTTAAAAGGAAAGTTTGGTGATTCTTCAGTCGTTTTAATGTTTCAGCCTTTGGAGTTGGTTCAGTACAAGGAAAAGATGAGCCCAGCATCCAAAATCCAGCTATGCCGTTCACTCGCCTCCTTTCCTCTCCATTTACACTGCTGGCTGAGGCAAGAATAAAGTGTTTGGCTGCTGCTGGGCAGCCTGCTGTAGGACATCACAACTTGATGACACAACACAGAGGAGATCTGAGAGGCAGAAATCAGCAGAGGCAATGTGAATGGTTTGAGAGAGGTGTGACAAAAGAAAGGTAACAGTGAAAGCAGAAAAAGCAATGAGGGAATACGATGTGACTGAAGAACTAGCCTTATATTAAAGGCTGCGTGTCTAAGAAACTAAAATATGAAATATGTAAGAAGAAAAAATGTATATACACCTGGGGGATGGATGATGATCCTCTGCTAATGAAACTCCACTACATGCTATTTTATACCATCTGATGATCTGGCCCAGAAACACTTACAGAGCCTCCATTGCACCTCATTGGAAGTGCAGGGTTTGGCCTACAACATATATGTGAAAGATTTATTGGGATAGTTTTAAAAACCACAGACTATAGGGCATTCAGCACATCTCTTGAGAGCCTGTCCACAGCATAATACATCTTTCACTTCAGAACTTCCCTGTTGAGATCCGACATTTTCTGTGTTTAAATATCACTCCTTTTATTCCTAATCAGACCCTGTGTCACACCTCATAATTCATCTCTCTCCTCAACATCAGCAGCATACAGCTGTTTCATTCGCCAGTTCACCACCATTTAACAAAACTGTGTAAGTTTGATGTTACTCTCTTCCCAGAAATCAGACCCTCCCATGTCCGCCCTTTGATTACTTTCCCATGTCTCCTCCTTGCTCCTTCCACTCTGTCAATAGCTTTCAGACAACGCGGTGCCTAAACCAGAATGTAATATTGGAGTGTGGTTGAACCAGAGCCAAACAAAGGGAGAAAGTCTCTTGCTTCCTGCTCGGATGTGATGCATTTGATAACACACACTGCTGCTGCTTTTTTGCCAGAATACTCGGAAGAATATTAGGCATGGTCTGAGAATTAAGCAAATGACACTCAAGGTGCAAATGCACTTATTCTTGTTTGCAAATATCATTAAGCAGCTTAGTTTAAATCCGCTTAAACTACTTCAAGTTAGATGCCTGTGCACCGATGTAAGTATCTGCTGCATCTCCCAGCAGGGTTCAGTTTGGACGTGGTTTTGTCAAGGCGGCTACGTAACACTTCTGACTAGCACAGTGTTCTCCGCAGTCTCAGTTTCTGTTGTTTTCTGAAGTAAACTGGTTGCTGCTTTGAAAGCAGCACGTGGTCAGAGCATCCCAGCAAGGAGCTGGCTGCTGGCTCAGCGGAGGGCAATGAACGGTGCTTCTGGGAGTGAAAGAGCTCTGTGCTACCTGCTGGTCCTAACTACCCAGAGAAGCGTGCCTCCCACCTGTCACAGTCAGTTCGGGTATGTTTTTGGATCAGCATTCAAGCCTGGAGAGGTTACTGCTCTCCCAGAGGTCTGTGTAATACTCTCACTCTTGGGGCCCAGTTTGCAGTCCCCTTGTGGACAAATAACCCAGCAGGTCCCACTGAGGTGGTACAGTTACAGGTCATCAGTGCCTATTACTGAAAATACGTGTACTGGCTTACCTGCTCAGAAACAAGGCATTTCACATAAAAAATTACGTGCAACAGTTTGTATTAGTACCTCTCTCTCCAAAATATATCAAAATATATCGTGCCTTGCAGGTTGCTGGAGGCCCTGGCAGTGCCTGGCAGTTATTTCTGTCTTGGTTTTGCAACAGCCATCCTTTCTCCTTCTTCCATCAGCTGTGAACCTATCTGATAGCTGATGGCCACCCATTTTTGGTTACCAGCCTTTGCAAAATACCTACATAAATGTGCTGGATCTTGGAAATCACACCGTGACAGCTAGAAGTTCAGTGGCTGGGATTGCTCTGCTGGGTGTTATTTGAGACCGTTCACCTAAAAATAGTGAGTTGTTTGGTTTTTGAAAAACTGCTGCTGAATGTGACCATGACATAAAGACAGGGACAGGGAAGTTTGATATGGCTGTATAGTGACTTGCAGTCTTACTGGTTCAGTCTTGCAGAGT